ATATATATGTATATGTGTTTTTTATGAACAAAGTGAGGGAATGATGGGAAAATAAAACGTTAAACCTTTTATTTTAGGTTTAGTTTGACATTGGTTTTTTTTGGTTATTTTTCCCCATGAACACAAAACTGTGCACAAGTATTGTTTTACACCATGAAGGTGCCTCATATTTCTCTTCTATTTTAAAAAAAGAGAGGGAAAAAAGAGGAACTGAATTGTAGATTTATTTTCTGGGAGAAAAAGTGTTTTTCTGTGGTGAACAGTTCTTCACAATCACAGTGAGGGTGTCATTTGAGAGTGTAACAGTGAGCTATTTTACATAGACGGAAATGGTATTAAGGGAGTTTGGAGGATTGATTGTAGATTTCATGTGTCAGACTCTAAAGTTGAAAAATGGTGCAATAAATCCCCATCAGTTCTCTCCATTCCGAGGCCAACTCAGAGTCACCAGAGCAAATATAACAGGAACTGCTGTCTGTTTTACAAACCGGCCGTCAAGTCACATCTAATGGTTAATTTTGTGACATAGGCTGTTAATTTTGTGGGTTAGTGTTAGCATCAACAGGATGTTCCCTGTAATTGTTTCATAACTTTTGGTACTTTTTAATAAATACTGTGAACCACTAGTTTTTCAGGATAAATTGTGACTAGTCGAAATTAAAGCCTTATGAGTTGGAAAAAGGTGGAGAACTGTGGAAAGCTTGGTGCAATGAGTCTCCAGCCAGGAATATCTTTCATGGAAATCTGTAGTCTTACTTTACATCTGGGACGTAGCTGCATGGAAGTTTCCAACCGTCTCAATCTCACCTTGGGGGGAGTCAGTAATTATGTGTATTTAACAAATAAGTGAATTCTTCCAAACAGCTAGCAGTGTGTAATCCTGATGGATAATGCTGCACGTCAAAAGTTGATTGGTTAAATGACAAAAATGAGAGTCCAACAACAAATTTATTACTAAGAGGACAATTATTGGAAAAAGTCTATTAAAAATGAGAAAAAAGAGCCAACTTCAGTAGAGAAAGTTTTTTTTTTTATTGCTTGGTTTTTCTTTACAACAAAGATCCTTTTATTTACGCAGCAAAGTAAATGTCTGCCAGTTAAGTTTTTTTGACGGCTGATGTTTAGATTTAGAAATTCAGGCAGCATTATTGCAGATTTGTGAAGCCAGTCTATTTAATTCTAACTAATAAATTCAATAGTTTAATTTTCAAATTAATGTTATTATGCTATTAATTTAATTAATAAGCACATAATGCATCTGATTTAGTCATTAAGTTGTACACAGTGCAGAACACATTATCTGTATGTTATTCATGTTTTCTCTAAAAGTTTGAAGATCATGTTTTAATCACTACAACTATAACAGGAGAATAGTGGCTCTTGAGGACCAGGATTTGACATCACTGGTTTACATCTTGGTTCTTTCAGCATCATGTACCTGTAAGAGGATTCAGATTCCCATTTAGGGCAAAATCCTTGGTTATCCTGACCGATCAGATTCTCTTTACAGCTTTTCTCTGCGTTATTCAATCAGGAGGCTTCTGCCCATTTTTCTCTTCAGCGAACAAAGAAATGTCTCTTTTGTTGCAGTTAATACATCTTTAGAATTTGACCAAACCACAGATCTTTTTTTTTTTTGTGAATCAAAGTTTCATGAATTGACACGACCTTCCACTTTAACAGAATTTCTTATCTGCCTGTGAATGCCTGTCTTCTCTACCTCTACCTGTCAATCAAATACAGATGCACCATGTGTTTTTGTTTGTTCCCTGCAGACCTGAGGAAGACATTTGATCAGGAGCCTCTTGGGAAAGAAGTGTTACTGGAGCAGGAAGTGCTGCTGCAGTGTCGCCCACCTGAAGGCATCCCACCTGCTGAGGTAAGATTTGAAGGGCGGGATTACCAAACTGCTGCACTCTCTTTAATAAAGTCATGTGTTTGTTTGAAAAGATAAGTTCTCATGTGGGCGTGTTAGCCAGAGGAAAAGAGGCCCATGATGGTCCGTGCTAAGCCGCGCTAAAAGCTCTCACCTCAAATCCAGTAAACTGGCTTCTCTGAAAAGAGGTTTATGTGATTTTCACTGACTTTTTGGGGTCAGTTTCTGATTACATGTCACCATCATATACATAGTATTTATTGGACTACTAAAACACCAAACACCCACAATATTACACATTGAGCCAATGTATTTAGAAGCATAACGGTTCTATTTTCGGTCTGTTGTTATTTCAGATGAAAAGAGGCATATTTTGGCTCAGTTTTGAACTGATACATTTCAGAAGCTTTAATAAAACAACACTGAATAAATATGACACAGTACAGTGCACAGATAATGACATTTTCCACCACCGCACGGGCTGTTAAAGTGCTTTGGGTATTTCCTGAATATCAGCCAGTCATGACAGTTTGGAGGAAAGAAAATTGTAATTATATGCAGAGGGGAGAAAGAATAAGTGTCCCTTTGCAACCTTGGCTTAGTTAATATCTCCTCCTTGCCCTTTGAGGGTTAAGGGGGTCGGTGGTGAATTCTGTAAAGGCTGATTGACCTGGAAAAGCTGAGTTAAGTGAGCGTAACTGTGCAGTATTTATCCCTGCGGAAAGTGCTGACAGGTTGTACAGACTTTAAGCTGAGAGAACTTGCACTCCCTGTATGATCCAGCTTTTTGGTCTGTTTCAGTAAGTTCACACTGTGATTATGATTGGCTCTGTGCAGCATTTGATTCCTCAACTGGGTTCCAATTATGGCCCATTTATGCCTTCTGTGCTGAGGAATTTACGAGACAATTTAGGTGTTGAAACTGTGTAAGTTGTTCCATGTGTCTGTGTGTTCTGATAAAGAACACAGACCTGTGGAACAGAGTCGTTTATGTTTTCTCGGAATGCTTATTTTTCAATGTGATGAACTTCATTACTGCTCACCACCAAGTGGCAAAGGTGAGCAATACTGTTTTTTTCCCTTTGTGTGTTTGTTTGTTAATCACTGATTATACATCGTATACAACTGATCAACATTTGGAGTAAGACTGATTCAACATGGCTGCTACAGCTAAGTGACCTTAGAACTACATAAATGTGACATCTCCTTCAGATTTAGCTGTTAAATGCATTTTGTTGTGTGCTTGAAGTGCAGAAATTTTGAATTTAGTTTTCCCTGGTGCTGTGTAGATATCTATATTTTCAACCTGTTCCATTTTCTCTCTTTTCTATTATACTGTATTGTCTGAACTATTATGTCACAATTTTTGCAGTAGAACTTCTAAATAAGGTCTAGACTTACCAACTACAATTTGGTGGTGTTCATTCTCCTCTGCCTCCAACTGGAAGGACAAGTCTTCTCTCGCTGACATCGTTAATTCATCTGTAAATAAAAAAAAAGTTTCTGCACTGCTATATAGTCATAAACCCCTCTATGAAACTAGAATTGATCAGTCTGGAAGCTGGAGACGGGGCAGGGTGTGAAGTGCCTTGTTTGGGTTTAAAGAGACAGCCTCAAAATGAGTTGATCTGAGACACAACTCAGAAAAGGGGTGGAAGAGAGGCTTGTTGAGTTACAATAAGGAGCAATTCAGATCAAAGCATTGCAGTTCCACTTTATATAGACCCCAGTGTGATTTAAATGTGAAAAAGAAGGATTTAAAAGCATGAGATGTCTCTTTTGAAGGTGGTGGGACATACTGTATGTGATCTTCAAGGAAAGCTAGACCTTTAATTTGTATATTATGTGCTTATAAGGCATGCTATTAGCATCTTTAGATGCTCTTGCCTCAAGGCTGCACAAAAAGATCCCTTTCATATGATATTTTCCCTTTTCCATAACTCAAAGTCAGCTGATTTATTGGGAGAAAGAATTAAAATGAATCCAGCTTTTTTTTGTCTGTTTGTCAGGCATTTTCTCATAAAAGCTCACAAAAAGAAAAAAAAAAGAAAAAGCTCGGAAAAAGCAGATGGGCTAAGACTGTGGTTACATACGAATTTGCAAAAATATGTAGCAGCCGCTGTGAAGGAAAGATCTGTCATATTTCATCCGCTCACGACACCAAAAAAAATATAGGGAGGATGAAAGAGGCTGAAGGCAGGAGGAGAACTGGTCTGGTTTTGTCAGGGTTTGATTCAGTGGGTTGCTGTCAGGCCTCCAGTGGGCTGTCAGTTCACTCTGTGGCTCTTTTGCAGGCTTTTTCCTGCTAAGTGAGAGGCTGGAAGGTTGGCATGCTGTGGCCGGGCCATAAAAAAACATGCTCTCACAGCAACTCTCTTTTCACTTTTGAATATGTGTGATGGACGTTGTGCTGCAAATAAAAAGAATGGGCTGATTGTTCATTGTCTGTTCAACCTCTATGTGTTCTTATACGAGTGGAAGTTGTGTGTGTGTGTGTGTGTGTGTGTGTGTGTGTACTGTGTACAGAAATATACTCACCACTGATGAAGTGAGCGGCAAAATCAAAATGTTGAGATTTCCTTCTTCAAAACAGGTTCAAAGAAACGTTTTTTTTTTCTTGCACCAACTGCACTGTGGTGCTCTGAGGTGGGCAGAGCACCAAAAAATGAGTAGTACTACTTCAACATATTTTTACTCATGTAAAAGTAAAAATTAGTCTTTAAAAATTACTCAAGTAAAGTATTTTGAAAAAAAAAAATGGCTTCTTGAGTACAGAGTAAAATATCATATCTGATTTAATGTTTTAAATAAAGTCATCAAACTGACAAAAAACAGACAGTTATGTGTCTAAAATGAAGAAAATTAATGTATCAAAAAGCATAATTCCAAAGTAATAAATTCCAGCAGAAAAAGTCAAACTTTTCTCATTATGATACTAAAGGTAAAGTACTACCATTGACTTTATCTACTGTTTACCATATATTCGTTTGACTTCCTAATGTCTCAGCAGACAGAAAATGGTTAGAAAATGATGACATTAGAACATAGCTTGTGTACAAACAAGAGGTCTCACTCCAACAAAAACTGTAGTTGTGTCTCTGCTGCATTTCTGATTGAAACATGTTTGTTCTTCATTCAGTGAAGTTACTTACAGTGAGTGTTCAGAAATTTTACTCAAGTATGAGTATACTTCATGATAATGTACCTCAAAGTAAAAAGATGCAGTGTAGTAAAACTACTTCTAAAAGTACCTTTACCCCCAAAAAATTGTATTCAAGTAAAAGTAATCTGTACCCATCTCCGGTGTTACTGTGCAAATTTATATCTTTCAGGATATAAGACTGTTCTTTGCTAGATTTTTTTTCTTAAATTCATAAATATTAGTCACTGTTCATCTGCTGTATAGAGCATATTTGATTAATTCAACTCCCACTTTTCCTTGGCTATTTATTTTTAATGTTTTCTTGCTCACTTTCTTAATTTTTTAAGAACATTGTACACAACCTACTGCCATGTTCATCTTAACTGCACAGAAAATGAATTAATAATAAAACCTAGAGAGAATAAGGCCAATTTAAAAGATTACAAGAATGTCTACGTCTTTGGAAGTAAAATATAAATAAATCAAAGGCCTATCTTCCCTTGAAGGAATACATACAGTATCATCGTGAATATACAAACACTGTTAGTTTTGGTCAAACCTCGAAAATAAAGTTGTGCATGTTCTCACAAGATATTGCCACCTCTCATGCCCAGACTGTGTCGTAAATGACTCTCAGCTACTACATACAAACACACTTTAGCTCAATATATATAAAAACATAACAGCGTTATAGTCATATTTGTGCTGGCCAGGATTGATTAGCTGCGATGGCCACATTGAAATTAATCTATTCTAAAATTTAATAGGTTGTAAATGTATATCTAATGATTATTTCCTAATAGTTTAATTAAAACCAGTTCAGTGGTTCATGAGATATAGATGCAAACAGCTAAACAGTCTTCAATGTTTGAAAAAAAAAGATCAGTTTCAGGCAAAACAAATCCACAAAAACACAAATCCCACATTCTGCCTTATCAAAAAAAGTCTGTTATAATTAGCTTTTTTACAACAAAGCATGACTTTGTTTGATGTGAACTGGTATCAGCCCTCCTCCTTTGGCTTCCCACGTTTCAGATGATTTACATCAGATGTCAGGATGGTTAACCAACATAATGACATCTTTTGATTCTATTTAAGTGCTTGTGATTCTTTCTTGGGTTTTCTGCGGAGGCTGCTGCCCTGCCGAGTTAAGCATTGTGCTGAATCGGCCGTATAGTTTTCTGTGATGATGCAGCAAGTTTTCCGAACAAAACGTAGGAAACAGTCGCCGTCAAATGTCTGACAGGTTTTCCAAACTCCGAGTTCAGCCGGAGGTACCCTTGTTAACATGTTTGAAAGGGTTTTTTTGTGCACTGGATGCATAGATTTACTGGAGTACAGCTAGTCACCGAACTGTGGATTACACCCACACCGCACTCTAACCCACAATCACAAAGAAAACAAGCAGCAGGCATTTATTTTGGCTTTCCTTGAGACCATTACCAATGGAACTTTGGCCCCGGAGTGCTGGAACACAGCGAGTGAGGTTTCTGAAATAGCATACGGCTTCCGTCATCTGAACATATTGTATGATGTGAATAAATTAGACACTCAGCTGGCTTTCCAAGACTCTTTGTTACACGTTTCCATAGCCATGAATATTTGATATATACTTAATCAAAAACAGAGGGGAAATGTAACTGCTGGGGCTATTCAAGGAGCAATTTGGCTTTTGTTTCAGTGATATGTGGGCTTAGCTGAGAGCTGCCCATAGTTACAGTAATAAAGGTAAAGACAGGGTGGGGTTCCAACATCTCAGTTCAGATATTTCCCCTGTTTCAATATCAACACAGAACTCTTTCATCAGCATTTAAAGAACCTCCACATGAGTGGCCTCTTTTCATGCTTTAAATATGTGTCT